TGCACCGAAAGCAACCATTCGATAACAGGAAGAGATATCGACAACGAGATGATCATGAGTGACGAAGGGAAATAAATAAAAGGTGATTGCAGTGTGAAGAGTAAAACTTATAATCAGTCATTAAAGTTGAATACGGATACAGGCAGATTAAGCTCCACTGGAGATGCTAGGCTAAAGGCATAGGGGACAAGAGATCGGCCCCCAACATGCGTGTTTGTGTGCCTGTGGTCATTTTTCGAGTGTGTGCATTAAGGAGAGGTGAGTGATAACATACCTGACCATAAATGGGGGGATACCAACCAACGTACACGTGAAAAACTGATAACTAGCCTAGGCTTAGATGGGAATGTCAACTTCAGAGACAAGAGGAGCGTGCTTTTCGCTATTCAGGTGTGGAAAAGAGAAGCGGTACATTCTCATACAACGTGTCCGAATTAGGCGGGGCATAGGGCTCCAAAGAAGGAGGTGCATTGAAGATGGGGGTGATAAAGAGGATAGGGTGACTGGGTGATGGGTCTGAAGGGTCTATAGACGGCATCACCGACTTTAAATCATCGAATATTACGTAAATAGGGGCGGGAATTGTAGGGTCATAGGTAGCTAGATTTTAGACAGTGATAGTTATGCGCATAGCGACCAATTTATAAGCGGAGTGGAAGGGGCCTGAATAAAAGTCAGGAGACCCGCAAAAAGAACCTGGAATCGGTGCTGAAGCAGATTACGCTTCATTAAAGCCTCTTGCAGTGACACGCGCTTAGATGACATTGGAGAAAACGAGAGCACAGAATTATATGAATGGGTAGATGGGCAATATGAAAGAAAGAGATGCAGCACTAGAAAGTAGAACAAAAAAAAGAGCGAGGACAGACAATTGGTCAAGGGGATTGCTTTCACTTGTCAATTTGATAAGCTGTAATTCTGTGCTTACAATGGCGCCTCTCACTGACGATGCCGACTACGATGTCGCCGAAACGTTTGGCAATGTACTCAGACAATGGCCAAATGCTGGAAATCACGAATACTATGGGAGAAGGCATGGGACTAGGTACGTTCCACAAGGTCTCCCTCATGCTCCCAACAAGTTGCGAAAACAAGGTCGAACCAGCACTATAAAGCTAAAGTAGATTGCGGCAAAACATAAGTCCACATCATCCTAGTCTACATATCTACAACACTATAAAGCTAACGGAAACTGTCTTTAAATCCAAGATTACGCTGTATTGATAGCTACTCCCAGCGAAATTCTTCGTCCCTAGTCCCGATTGAATTAACTTCTGAACGAGAACAGTCTTTTAGGAAATATCAAGTTTCTAAAAGTGCAACTCATAAATTTTTCTTACCAATCTGGAACAAGCTTTTTATCTTCTAATTTCATTGTAGAAAATTCATACTCTCAGTCCCTTTGCATTTTCTTCAGCAATCTCGAGACTAAGTTACGATTTAAGAATTATCGATCGTTTCTAAGCTTATGGCCAAACTAAATACATTTTTACGCCTTGATAGCAAATATATACATGACTTATCAGCAATACCTTCAGAAATATGCATTTTTTTTATGTCGGGATAGCTGGAATTCTCTAAAATGTTTGTAAGGGAGACTCACCTCCACAGTACTAACCTTTTCTTTGGAAGTCTATGGAAAAAGCATCATATGCACTATTGCAACACAGCTCTCACCATTTCACTCGACTGAGCACACAATGTGAGCCCATAGGTAACATAAGAATGACATCTTGATAGCTCTCGTCAGTTGAACTAACGTATGATATGCGGTTCCTTTCACCTTCATGCACTTTGTCTCGGCCACGTGCACATTTAACCAAAGTTCATACTTCTCATCACATGTCCATTTATTATTCTCGTCCTAGCTTCTCTATTTATTCCCATCTACCTAAATATTTCGCCTGTGACTGGTTTCGTTGCCAGCAGCCGCTTATCTCTTTACTTCATCCTCAACATCGCCTTATCCCGCACACTTAATCTTCCTGAACAATCATTCTAAAGTCTATTTTACCAAGGATATAAATTTTATTTATCCACATAGAGAATCGCCAAAAATATACGGTTCACTACATATGCATTCTTCTCCATTGGCCTCTCGGCCTTTCAGAGGTTCGAAGTCGAGTCATGAAGAATAAAACGATAGACAAATTTGCAAATCGATTCCACTTTGTGGTTTTATCCCCACTTAATTAAAGGACCCAGATTAGTAGTTGTCTATACATAATTCGTTAATCTCCTAGTTTGAGTAAGGAGCGAACTAAAAGAAGATCAAAAATAGAAGGTGTGTTTGCACTAGGCTGCATAAAGCGATGAAGGACAGATAGCTGAATCTTCCACATATGATACTGTTAGAGGGAG